GTGAAGTCCACTGAGACAAATGTAACATTTGTGATATTGGGCTATATAAATAAACATTGATTGATTGATTGATGGTGGACATGTAGAAATAAATCATTAGTTCAACTGCAGCAATAGACTAATGTTAAATTAGTGGATACTTCAGTGTGTTCAGGATGGAAGCATTAAGAATGACCAGGAATAATATTACTAAAAGTGATGCTTTTGAATCACTCATTACTAAATACCATTAAATATTACCATATAGTAGTAATAGTTTTGTAGCTCAGGAAGGTCAATATTAACTGAAAAGATAGCGATCAAAGTCTAGATTTTCTGCTGAAGAAAGATGAAGCAGAGAACTTTAAACTGAGAGCCCCCTCTGGTGGTGTTCAACATTAATGACTAAGAAACAAAGGTCTGGTCTAATGTTTTATAAAAGCTTTAAGAAAATTAAGCATGTAAAAGGATTTTAAAAGTATTGCTGTACATTTGACACATTCACACAAGGAAAAAAAATTCACATAAAATTCACACCTGGCCACTTTAGATATTCGGGACCATTTGAAAGCATGCCACAAGTGTTAGATTTGCAGCCAGAGCAGCAGTTCAGATAAGCTATAAAAATAACTATAGACAGTCAAGATTTCAGTCAGCCAACATCCCAAGTAGTGTATTTATGATGTAAAAAAGTGATTAGGTTTGCATTAGAGTAGTCATACAGACTGAAACTCATACAGAGTAAACACGCCTGATATGGTTCACTTTACTGAAGAGCAGGTCCTTTTCCAAGACTGAACTGCCATTTTGTGTGAGGGCTAGCTTTTAAATTCAAACTTGTAGCATGCTTTAGAAAAAGAGTCAGTAAAATTATTCACGATTTCAGTTGGTAAAACGTGCAAACCACTGATTTGGTCCTTGGTGTGCAGCTCCTTCGGTCACATTAAAAAGTTTAAGTTACAACTGTACAAAACTGCCAAAAGTCTTCTCATACGGTGAGCTGCTTTGCAATATCCGTCACCACTGAAGACTTGAGCTGCGCGATGGTGGCAATCCTCATCTGCTTGGAAGTGGAGTACTTTCCTTTAATGGCCTGGAATGAGAAAATTACTGGGTTAGAAGTAAATCCAAATTAAGGATCAATCCTTTTCAAGTACACAAATGTTGACACTTGAGTTGTTGTTTTACACTTACCATATGTTTGGTCGTACCGTCGTTCACCTTCAGTACATTCTTGGCAATGTGTGCCATCACAGGAATCAAACTCTCTGCCGTGTATTCCATGTAGTGCTGCAGAGTCACGTCCTGAGAACAGACAATACACAGATGTCCTTCAGAAAAGCATTTCATCCACTTGACAGTAAATGCTCCATGACCATTTTATGACTGAGGCAACCATTTTTTTTAAAAGGCAACACCCCACTTTGCACACTTTTGTAGCAAATGTAGCCTTGAAATACACATATTGGCCAATATTTAAATAGATGATATGCCACCTTTTAATATTTTGAAGATGCACTCATTAGTTTAGTCTTCTAAAATATATGAATGTTTCAAAAGAGGGCCGAAAGTGTTATTTTAGCATATTGAACTAATGCATTTTGCTCTCTTGGA